TACGAGATGGTCTGAACAAAGGAATGAGGCAGGGCCTGGCTAATTGGACCTGAGGACAAAGGGGACCCCAATTGTCAGGAGCTGTGGGTTCACAGGGCAAACTCAGAGAGAAAGTGGGAAAACCAGGTAGAACCAGATGACAGAGGACTTTAAATATTAGCTTTAAAGTATGAAATATGGTAATGTTCTCTTAATTTGGATAACTTTTACAAATGAGCGTGCGAAGCACATTCACAAACCCTATCCATTACCTCACACTCGGGTTACTCCCTGCAGTCATTTCTGCTCTGCTTATTAATGAAAACCTAGTAATAGGGACAGACCTGCTTTGGCTTGCCCTCCAGTATGCCTTCACACAGGTCGGGTTTTATACTTTATGCGGAGCGGATCATTGTTGTCTGGCAGGCCTGGTCTGATGGTACCTCCCCTTCCAGTGACATAAGTGCAACGTCGCTTAATATCGCAGTGAGGAGAATTCAGAGCGTTCGAGTGAAGTATACATTAACAGAAAGCCCAGGACATGCAAGGATTCGGTTGGTTCAAGAGACACCCTACAGGCTCAGTGTATTAAAGTCAGAAGGGAATTTGGACACCATCAAGTCCTATGTCCCCTCAGTTCAAATGGGAAAACGTAAGCGTTCAGTCTCCAGGCTCCGCACCCAAAGCTCAGCTCACCAACGATAAGGTTGAAATGCCTCCGCAGAGTATTTTTCCAAGTGCATGTGCTGTTGTTGAATCAAGTTACTTTTTTTTTTTTTTACATGAAATTCTCAGTATTTTTAACAAAGCGAGGCTGCTCTAAGTGAAGGAGCAGGAACTCTGCCGAGTTTCAGAGAACTGAATGTGGAAACACTCCTTGGGAGATGGTGGCTGATGGGAGTGGATGAGAGCGAAGTCCGCGTGGGGATTTTCAGGGCTGGTCAAAGGTCAAATGTGGCCCCTACTCCAGAACTCAATATAAGTATTTCTCTGGAGAGCTAAGTAAAAACTCACTTCCTTTCAGTGAGCTCAACAAATGGGAAGGCGGGGGTTAAGGGAAGACTGTAAGAATAAATCGGAAGACTCAGTACAGGAAGGTGGGTGAGTGAATAGCTCAAGTGCCAATCCTGGGAACATTGCATTCAAGGTAAAGATACTGAGACTGCCTCATTGATTCTGTCAACAGTGCGAGAATGCCAGGCTGGAGATAAAGATTTGGGAAGCAACTCTATGTAGGTGGTAAATGGAAGCCAAGTAATTATCTTCAGCTCATAAAACCCACCACCAATAAGCTTCTTAAGCCCTGCTCTCCTCACCCCTGCCTTTCCTGGGGATGACTCATCTCCTCCAAGACGAGAAACAGCCGGGCCTGACCGTGAATGGCTATGGGTCATTCTTGTCATCGTAATGCAAATGCTTTTCCCCACTATGTCCTTGCTTTTAGGTTTTGTAATTTCTAAGTCCTCGCGCTCATGATGGCATTTCTTTCTATTAGAAATTTCTGGTTTTGGAGACTCAGAGAGCCAGATAGCTCTGACACTCATTTGACCACTAAATTCAAATTATATCCATCTTCAATAGAAATTATTATTGGATAAGATGCTTGCATGATTCCAGTGGCTGGAATACACAGCCATTGATTTAGGTAATTTCTGTCAGTTATTGAACAGAAGATTGAAGTCAAGAGATTATCTATCTATCCAAGAGACTCACAGTGTCATAGTATCAAGCCTAACACAACCACTAACCTTGTTTTTGAATTTGTAGCTTGAGAATAAGACTAAAGATGTTCTTGAGGGATTCTTCTGAAAGAATGTGAATGGCCAAAATGGATGGTTCTGTGTTAATGTGTGGGTATGATTAATTCTGTTTAATATGTGGAATCTACATGCGTTATCCCCCCCCCCCAAAGACATTAGACACAACCTTCTTTCTGAAATAATAATGCTGACCCAACCTGCTCTGGCCTTCCTCGGAGCTATTATTTAGACCTGGAGTTATAAAATGTAGTTGAACCTAGATATCAAGTGATAAATACCATAGACACACCCACATATAAATATATACAGGAAACAAACATGTTTTTCTTTCAAGCTCTAAAATGCACCATTTTTTATCCAAGGACTTTGACCTGGGTGACCCAAAGAGATGGAGATATGTGACAGTCCATCAGGCACAGAACTGTATTCTAGGACAGAAAACTCACCCACTTAGATATGATTCATCGCGTCTAAGTGAGTGAATCATGCCAGAAGCCTGCACGACGTGGGCTTTTGCCCTGTGGATTTGCAGTTGGTGTGTTAAGGGGAAGATTATCTCATTCTTCACCAATTACATATGATATTTCATTCCTGATCTCCTTGGGCCCATGTTCAGGTATTCACTTCAAAAGGAATATGTTTTCATCATCTCAGGTTTGGCTTCTATGTATTAGTTTTACTTTAAAAGCAGAGAAAGTACCCGATGAAATGGCTCCCAGAGGCTGGACTCATAGCTGGGGTCACCTTGGCCAGCACAGGTAACGACCACTGAGCATCCTTGTCGAGGGCCCTGTTGGAAACAATGGGCAAGTCCTCAGAAGGGTTCAATTAATGAGAGATTTTTAAAGTCTTTCCAAGCCCTCTCAAGGCCCTCCCTTCCTTGCACCGCCTCCTTTCCCAGACAGCAAGGCTTTGCTGCCTGCACTGTGTATTTTTGACAAGAAAGCGACGAATAAGCCCAAGTGTTACGGGAAATCTGTGACATTGAAATCTGTGTCTCTGCATGTGCTTTTGATGTTTTCTTTTTGAACTTCAACTTGACATTGCTTCATAAGTTACATTTGCCCTTCCATTTTTTTTTTTCCTCACCCACTTTGAAAAGTTAGGCATAGTTGTTAATATTCCACACAGCTTTTTGGAGCTTTCCTGGTTTGCTTGGTGTTCATGGGCGCTATGGGGGGTAAATATTCATCAGGTTGAATGTGAAATCAGACATACCACTGCCATTAGCCCTATCAGGGTGATAGTCTGACTCTTCAAGCACAGAACTGAACAAGCACCTACTTCCTGAGCTTCCGTTGCATTTCAGCAGGAAGATACAGAACAGCGGCCAACCGGCAGCTCTTTCAAGGATGAAGGTCATGGCCCTTAGTTCAAGTTAATGCTTGTTGATGTTATAGCTTTGGGGGGAAGTTGACCCTTCCAGCCTCCTTGCACACCCAGCACTGCATCATCCGCATCAATAGAGGGTTTGTAAAACTGTGTCTTGCTCTTTGAAAAACATGAAATTGCTTACAGATGGAGGAATGAGAAAGCAACGTTTATTCAGGGACTTAGAGACCTCTGCTGGTTGAGGGGCTTGAGTGTATTTTCCAGTTTTGTTTATTATTAAGAAGGTGAGGTAGACAGCTTGTCCTCGACACTGGTGAATTCCTTTCGAATTAAATTACGGATGATCCTGGAGCCTCACCAAATGAAGATTCAGAGGCCAAGTCAGGAAGAGACGTGTTCAAAGTATTGAGTAGCACCTTTTAATTAAATACTGACCGCAATTCTGACTATTAGGTTTATACTGGCAGGCGTCACCCTATAGAAACGCCCTGTGGGAAGAATTCCTGAGTGGTACCCAGAGTTCCCTTCCATATGAACTTCGGGCTGAAGGGTCTTCTACCTAAATGCATCTGCCATGACAGTTAGCAATGGTGTGAACTGTGCTTTAGGCAAAGGGAATGATGTTTATGAAGACGTTTTATGGAACGTGGAATTAATACCGTGTGTAGCTCCTTTACGAACAAACATGACTTTAGGTGAAGCATGAGAAACGTGGCATCATGTTGTTGGTGGGAGGGGTGGAGGGCAATAGGCAGCGTGGGAATAAGGCTGCCTGACTTCCTGTAACTGTGGGTGGGACGTGATGTCCCAGGAGGGTTTTCGTAAAAACCGGGACTCGCTCCGAGGTTTGGGATTCTAGGGCCATACTCATGTGCATAACACTCTATCAATATGAAATAAGTCAATATTTTATTTTTTTATTGTTTTTTATTTTATTGGGGAACAGCCATGGTCATTGGTTACACATTGCCTTCGTGCCACAATGGCACAGTTGAATTTTTTAAGGAGGATGCAGCTCACAGTGGCCCGTGTGGGGATTGAACCAGCAACTTTGGTATTATCAGCACGATGCTCTAACCAACTGAGCTAACCAGTCACCCCTGAAATAAGTCAATATTTTAAAATGATGATAGTGTTGAAGGAGGAAGGAGTCACAGAAACTAGCCATATAATGTGTGGGAGTGAAGTATATTCATTAGGGACAGGCTCAGCTGCTGTAACAGATAGAACCCAAAATACAGTGGCCTAAATAGGAAGCTTGTTTCTCTCTCACATATCTCTCCAAAAATAGGCAGGTGAATCTGGGACTGCTTTGGTCCACAAGGCCATTCAAGGTCCAAGGCTGGCAGGTCAGCATTTCCACCCAACTTGGCTTCCATCTCTGAGCCCAAGGATGTTTCAAGGATGTTTGCCATCCATTGTTTTTCCCACCCCTGGGAAGTGGCAGTGAGAGTCGAGGGCAAGTATCTTTAGGTAAATAATCTGCAGGTTGCTCTCAGCCCTTTCACACACGTGCCATTGCCGTGAACTTAGTCACATGGTTACCTCTACCTGCAAAGGAACCTGGGAAATGTAATACACATCTAGGAATACATGAGCCCAACCAAACATGGTGAGGCAGTGTGGGATATTTATTTCTCCTACAAAAAGGGAAAAAAGGAGGAATAGACACTTGGGGAAGAGGGAGAGTTCATTTTGTCATATGGCTAATGTTTTATTCATTCCGCACTCACTAATATATAATATGGTTGGACATGGGTTGGGGTGTCTTCTCAAAGTGCTCCGTGAACTTCTGCCCAGCCTTGTAACTTGCATAACATTTTGAAAAGGGATTTTATGATAAGCCTACTTTTGTCCTTTGATTGCATGTGATAAAAATTGAACATACCCTGAATGTCCATCTTTTCTTTGCTTTCTGAACTGCTATAGCTCAACCTAATTGGATTCAAAGAATAAATGATATCCACGTGGCCATCGAAGAAAATGTCTTTTGGGAATGCAGAGCGAATGGAAGACCCAGACCTACATACAGGTGGCTGAAAAATGGTGAACCGCTATCCACTCGGGTAAGCAAGCCGACGACAAGCGCGTCTGAGTATTGACTATAGTGTCCAATGTGTCCTCGTTGCTATGGAAACAGGAAAATGACAAGTTGTTTCCAAACTAATATGCAAGCAAATGCCATTCTTACTGGAACAAGTGACAGCGAGTGCGGCTGATAAACAGAGCCTGCCCAGAAAAGCCATTCTTCAGCTTCTGTACTGGATTTCGGTCTTCACAGATTAACATCTCTGGCTTCACACTTGAAAGTTATGCAGAAGGTCTGGCACGTGTAATGGTGCTAAGACCCAGATCTGTGTGTGCACCAGACACGAGTGAGTGAGTGAGTGCTAAGATACAGACAGATCTGTGTGTGCACCAGACACGAGTGAGTGCTAAGATATAGATCTGTGTGTGCACCAGACACGAGTGAGTGCTAAGAGACAGATCTGTGTGTGCACCAGACACGAGTGAGTGAGTGAGTGCTAAGATACAGATCTGTGTGTGCACCAGACACGAGTGAGTGAGTGAGTGACACCTCGAGGCATCCAAACTCCCCTCCCAGTGTGGCTTTGTCATTCCTTCTGTCTAGGAGACTTTTGGATAACATGGTATAGTACGTTCACCATCCAGTCACCCACTCTGCCTTAGACATGGTGTAATGACGAATTCAAACATGAGATTAGCATCTCTAGTCAGACATAGAACAAAAACTAGAGGCGATGACTGGGGCTGGAGGCACCGCCACAGGCCTGGGAGCAGGCAGTGTAACTGGGACCTCGGACACAGAGTCCCTCTCCAGGGCAAGATGCAATAGGTTTGGAGATAAGGCTTAAGGTGTGCATGCCCCCACCCACCTGTTGCCACCCAGTGGTACAAGCAGCCAAACTGCTGCCTGGCTCAGTAGGACTCAGACATAAGATGGGTGGAAGGCACGGGCCATGTCCCCCAATGGGCCTGGGATGGGAACTGCAGTAGTCCCAGGATCGTTGCAGGTCAGGACCTCAGAGAAGCCATCAGGAGGCTGTTTCTGGGCCTTGGTCCCGGGAACGGGGTGGAACGGCTGCAGAACTGCTAATGGAGGGGAGACAAACCAACAAAAATTACTCCTTTTCAAAATAAGCCTGCAAACCAGCAGTCCAGTCCACACGATATGCAAAAGTGAGTTTTTAGAAAGATAACCACCAGCAGAACAAGCAGCTTGTTTACCAGGCTCAAAGAGATAAATCAAAGGATCATGTCCATAAAAATAAACAGGATGTTCTGAAACGATGGCAGATAAATCTTTTTAAAGACCAAATGGAAATCTTAGAAACATATAACCATGAAATAAAAATGCTACTGACACTATTCATTTTGTAAGGGGAAATGATAGGCTATAATAATATTCACAAAGGATTCAGAGGTGTTCTCAAAATAATTTTAACGAATGCTTCCCTAACCCACCACTCCAAACACACTGCCTCATCCGACAGTCCCAAGGGGCCTTGTGAGTAAACGCTATTGTTACTCCCATTTTATAGACATGGAAACCACCTCGTCTGGAAAATGGTTAGAGCTGAGCAATTTGCCTTAGATCACATTGTTCATAAGTGATAGAGCCAGGATCCAAATATTAAATGTCTACTGTATTCAGAACCACCAAAGTTTGCCCGGATAAGATTTTTGGAATTGGTTATATGGGAAAGTTTTTGAGGAAGAGGAGATAAGGGAAGAAAAGCGTAAATGCTCTTTGAAAATATTTCAAAAATTGCTCTTTGGGTTTTCTAAACACAGGCTTCGAGCAGGTTTGCACGCAGGCGCTGCGTCGCGGGTGTTATGGAGATCCTCACCTGTGACGTAGGGAAGCCAGGCGGAGCCCGGGGGGAAGTGACGCAAACTCGGGGCGTGGCCTGGAGCAGTCTCCCCAGCTGAGGCAGGGAGGCTTGGCCTTTGCGTCCATGCCTTGACCGGTCATTGGATTGGATGGGGGGGGGGCTCCCTCAGCCAAGGGCAGCTCCCAGAGAGAGACTTAGCCGTTATCTGACGCAGCAGCTGGGGGAACAGGTACCTCGGTTCGGAAGGGAGTATCTGGAAGGTGCAACCCAGCATCCTGTGACAGGAGGGACTTGGACCCGGTCCAGGAATGCCCGTCCAAACGGAGCAGACCCTGACAGAGAACCCGGAACAAAGCGGGCAGGACGGCAGGACCTGCGACTTGGGAACAGTTGTGTCCAGTGGAATTTTCCTTACAGGATTTTCCTTCTGCACTCGAATGTTCGCTGAAATTGGACATTTTCCTCAGGCCCCAAGTCGAGGGCCAGCTTTTCATGCTCAGATTCTGCCCCCCACCCCACCCCCGTGAGCCCCCGGGGACAGTGCCTGCAGTGGGCACTGGCAGGGAGATCTGTGGGCACAGCTGCAGATGGGGGATGTGCAGACCCCACGCCCTGCACCTGCACCCCCTGCGTCACCCAGAGGGATCCTACTGGGGCCGTGGTCCTCTCAGCTCTAAGAGCCAGGCTCAGAGCCATAGAGCGCAGGGACCAGGTAACCGGCGTTTTCCTCCCTTTGTTTCATGAGTGGGAGCACGAGGCCTAGATTTGATCAAAGCCTCATACAGTGTTCGCCCATCGCCCAGCTAAACCGCAGCAGAAACCCAGTGCGTCTTCACACATTGTACTGTTTTAGATGGCAGGTCTCCTCGGAGGAAGAGATCCTTTTTGGTACTTAATGGAAACGGATCACCCACATTCCGTACCCACAGGCTGACGAATGAAAACAGTCTGTTCCATACACTAATTTTTCTTTCTTCAGACTGGCTACCGCTGGTGGTCCTCCATGTAGATCCTGCCACCAGCAGCAGAGTTATTAATACCTGGGGGTTTTTGTTGTTGGTTTTTTTGTTTTTTAGTAAACTTCAACCGATATTAAATATTTGTGTCTGCTTCATCAAAGAAGATTACAATCCGATTAACTTTCAAAGTGTTGCCTGTTCACAATTTGAGTGTTTTAAATATTCTGTGCAGTAAATTCTGTTGTATTTCCCACCCCCTCACCCCCAAGTAGCACAAAGCCTTAGAGTAAAACAAAAGCGTTTTAAATTTTAAGTTGATCCATTTACAGGGGATATTAATCTGAATGTTTTCACTATTAAAACAGTGAGAACTCAAGAGAGTCCTACAATTTAAATTCCATTTTCCAACTGATGTGTGGGTCGTTCCATTTAGCATCTGACCTGCCACAAATTTAGTTGACAGATAAATAGATCATGTTATGAAAATTGCTTATGTGACGGCTATTTTCTTCCCATTAAGCCCCTTTGATATAACATGTTGCCAAATTGCCTTGAGGTCTCATTGGAGAAGGTCATTGTTTTGTGGTTCTCTTTTCTTTCACAGGACAGAATTCAAATCGAGCAAGGGACGCTCAACATAACGGTGGTGGACCTCTCCGACGCCGGCATGTATCAGTGCGTGGCGGAGAATAAACACGGAGTTGTCTTTTCCAACGCTGAGCTCAGCGTTATAGGTGAGTACACTGGAGAGGAAGAAAAGAAAAACTGTTGAAATCACTGCACTAACCGGGGGGGGGGCTCTGCAAAGAATAAATGTTCAGCCCAAGAAACAGGTAGAGAAATCTTTAGACTGAAGATAACGCTGGAGAAACAAGTAACAGTAAAAAGAGGCCTCTGTCTAGATCCACCTCTTCTGACACTTGGAATGGGTAACAGCGTTCCCGCGACTCTCATTTTTATTACTCTTTTGATCCCTGTTCTAAGTTGCACAAAGTTCCTGAAATGCTTTGGAGGCTGTTGCCGACGTTCCAGTGCGGCACAATCTTTATTCTGGGAGGAGGAGGAGCTCACGTGCTTTGGGAAGGCTTATTTGAATCTTCCCAGGTCTGAGTGAATCTTGTGCTCCCACGTCTAAATTTTCCAGGCTCTGCAGCGGCGGGCGGGCTGCCCCTCCAGCTGCCCCTCTCACCATGCGGCCTGGCCCCTCCCTCCTGCTCTGCAGCTATACTGGCCTCTCTGTCCTGCCGATTCATTGTCCTCACTTGCTCCAGGGCCTCGCACATACTGTTCCTTCTGCCTGCAGTGCTGTTCCTTCCCCTCTTCATATCCTTAAACTCCTCCCCATTCTGCATCTCCCAGCTCCACTGTCACTCCCTCCGAAAGCCACACCTGGCCCCATGCCAAGGTCAGCTGCTCTTCCAGGCTGTTACACTGCCCTTAACTCGCCTTATAACCGATGCCACAGTTGCATTTTACTTGTGTGTGTGATTTCTGTCTTTTTCTCCCACTAAACTGTCATTCCCCCTGATCTCAAGGACCATGTTTGGTGTAACTCATCGTTTCATACTTGTGACTTAATATAACAGTGAAGCGCATAGTGTGCACTTAATAAATATTGAATGAATATAGGAATAAATGAATGAGTTAAATGATAAAGGAGGAGTTGAGAGGCTGTTAGAAAATGAATTACCCAGTCAATTAAATAACTAATTGAAAGTATAGGTGAAGTGAATTGACAAACCTATGGGCATTAAGAAAAAAAAAAAATCTTGTATGTAGAAACATTTTGACCCTGACTTCAGAATTTATCTAAACTATCTAAGCAGTAGTCCTTGTCCAGGAGAGCATAATAGAAGTTTCTGAGTAAGAGAAAAGCAGCACACAGAGGACGCCGACCCCATTGGCCCTGACCTGTCCTCCTGGGAAGCACCGTCTGATACTTTTGGTGCCTGGCTCGTAGGACCTACATGCACGAGAAGATGCTCCAAGCTGCATGCACTTCCACCCTGTGCCAGGTGACAAGGAAGGAAAAGCTGCCGACATCCATCAAAGACAAGGATCAGTGCGAGTTTATGGGGCTGCAGCCTTTTTCCAAGAGGCCTAGGGACATGCTGGCCTGGAATGTTCTGGAATGATCACCAGCTTGGCGTGGCCTACGGTTAAACATGACCTTTGTGGATGCCTGAACACAGATGCCTCCCGCCCCACAAATGTTGGGAACAACCATTTTAACTTCCTCCAAGACAAGTATGATGGCTCTCCCTACCCAGGGTGGCCCTGACTGTTGGTAGTCAGAAATGACGGTTGGTGAACAGTTCACCATGGTTAATTGTTCAGAGTTTTCTTCAGAAAGAAGCGTGTTCTGTATTACACATTATGTCAACTAGTTAGGAGAACAGTTAAAACTGAGGTTGAGTATTTTAATGAATGAACCACATTGTCCCAAAACCCTCTCATGAGTTTTTGCCAATTTAGATTTTACAATTTTAAAAGATTTTATAGGTCCCTTTGTTAAAATTTGATAGTGACAAGTGACTGAAAATCCCAGAATAAAATCATGGGGATGGAGGCTAACTGTAGTCCCCAAAGCAGAGCCTGATGTGGGGAAGGCTATTAAAATTATTTTTCTCTAGAGCCCCTGCCCACAGCTGGAAATAACTGTATGAGATCCATCCCTTAGAATGGTGTCTATTCTTTGTGTCGAGATGTAAGGGCTTAAAACAACTCTTTGCAGTGCCTTCCCCAGATCCTTCCTCCCTCACCCAGGGTTCAAAGCCTGTGAGTTGGGAATCACTGCTCCAACTTTTACATGAAGAGGGTTATTTCAAATCATTTGCAATTGAAATTCATTCCAAATGAATTCATGATCTGAGTTCTTATCTCAAGTTCCCCAAGGTCAGCAAGATAGCACAGTAAAGATAACATGAAAGTGCTTGAGAAGTTATTTAACCACCCTGATCTCAGCCAACCTGAGTATGAGAACAATAAGGCATGTCAGTAAGTGACACAGGCCAAACCCTGGTAAAAAAAAAAAAAAAAAAAAAAAAAAAAAAAGCGAGGCTCCCAGGAGTGCAGGAAAGGGAGATTGGCGGGTGACTCGGCTGCTCAGCTGGGCCTGGAACAAGAATGTATGTTTGCACAGACAGGAAAGAGCAGCGGGAATATTCCAGATCCAAGTGACTTGGCCTGAACAGAGGCTCAAAGTTATGAAACATCTGCATCGTTTCTTGCGCATAGAGAATCCTGCATCGTCTTCAAAAAATCTGATTCAAACACAAAAAGCGTATGGACAAAGTTTAAACTTGAAAAGAGGAAGATGAAAAAATGAAGGACCAATTTTAGAGAATCTTGAATAACAAGCTTCGACTTCCCCTCTTTCATGTACCATTTCCCTGCCAAAAAAAAATAATAATAAGTCATATAAACATCGTGCATAGTGAATCGAAGGGCAGTTAAGTGTTGAACGAGTAAGTCCCTAGAGCCCACCTTAAGTGAATGAGGGAGAAGATGTGTAAAAATACACGTAAATTAATATTGGTTATCTTGGGGAAGCTGTAATATCATTGTATTCCACAAGTCACTGTGTTTTTTGTAGAATAATAATAGTTTGACTCTTTTGGGTCATGTGACTGATTTGGTATTACCTGTGTTAGAATTATGATGAAGTTGAATTGAACAAAGGAACAAAATGAAAACAAGATACTTCAGAACAAGGGGGGAAAAATGTGCTGTTCCAGCTATTGATCAAGTATCAGGATGCTGTAATGCTGGGGAGGAAATCCCTTTCGAGACAGGTAATAGTCCCAAAGTCATGAATAAGAGACGGCCAGGAAGCAAAAGTTAATAGGCTTTTCCCTCCATCTTGTTGATGTGTTCTGTCTGGGTCCTTAATGTGTATGTAACATATCTATATTTAATGGATTGAAACTGCTAAATAATTAACCTAGATGCTGGTTACTCCCTGGATGGGAGGGTGCCACAGGGAGACTATTACCTTGAGGTCAGTGTGTTAGAGTCGGCCTGGCTCTGGGCACATCAGGTAGAAACCTCCTGGTCTGTGACGGAACCTGTTACAATTGATGCTTCATCATTCGGCCATGCAACTGTCCCCAGAACTCTCCTGTGCCCACCTGTGTCATGGCCAGGGCTCTCTTGCGGGACACATTCCTGTGGCATCCTCAGGGTGCTGCACAGTTCCCAGGGTGACACTGTATTCCACCCCTGCCTCCCACTCTTGGAAGTGTATTGGAACTGATGTGAATAGTCTTAGAATCATGCGGAAACTTGAATCTTCTATACAAATGTCATTAGACGTTGTTAGGCATTGCATTGGTTGAAAACCTCGCTTTTCTAAGGCGCTTTTGTGTTCCTCTTTGGTATGTGTGTCCGCTTACATGGATGGCCGTATTGGTGATGGGGCAGCTGACTGAGCTGCCGAACTTGAAACGTCCCATGAGGCTCCCCACGGAACGCGTGTGCCATGTGCATGGCATGGGGTAGAGACGGGAGGTGGGTCCCAGGAGCAGAGCAGGGGCCGGGGTGCCCGTGAGTCAGTGCAGGAGTGTTCTCTGGGAGAAACCTGGAAGAGAACAGGATGGGAGGGCGCTGAGGAGGGACATGGGCTCAGGTGAAGTCTGGCCTTAGCTCAGCCTGAGAGGGACACCTGGAGCATCTGAGGCAGGGAGGCTGCCTTTTTTTTTTTTCCCCCAATCTCCATATCAGTCAGTCATTGGGCTGTCCCTAAGGGGCGGTTGGCAGTGTCACTAGAGTTGGAGATGGGTGGGGTTGGTCATGGGGGCAAAACCCCCCTCCCAGTCAATTCCCCCGAGAAGCAGGCAGCTGAGTGGCCCACAGCAGCTGGGGCCGAGGACAGAATCTGCGGGCCTTCTCTGCAGAGGACGAGCAATGGCACTATCAAGACGCTTGGTTACTTTGTCCAGTTTCCCTGGGTCATAACGGGTAGTGTAACGAGTGTCTGACTTTCAAATGTGATGAACGGTCCCTGAGAGCGAGTGGGTGTCTTCCCCATGGTCTTTTGAACGTGCCTGACTCTGTGTGATGGAACAGACGCAGCTAGCCCTGAGAGCTTTCTGTCTAATGGCTCCGTGTCCTAGGGGCTCTCCTGGCCTGTGGGCTGGAGGACATCCGACCCTGGCAGGGCACTCAGATACCATTAAGGGCCAGTTAAAGTGAGGTGCAGGCTGCGGCAATTATCTGGTTAATGTGGCTCTAATCCAGGTGATTGGCTCCCAGATCAGGAAAGCATTAAGGCTAAACTCAAAGTCATTTCACAGGGACGCCCACGGGTGCTCATCTGCACCCAAGTCAGATGTCTCAGCTGCCTCGTTGAGCCAGATTACAAAATAATCAAATACGATCGGCCTCCCGTGAGCAGACAAATGCCCTTCTTACCAAATGCCTTTGTCTAGGCGGGAGCTTTATTTAAATCGCCGCGCACAGGGAAGGCTGTGTGCCTGGATCTCAGATCCCAAGGTGGTGTTTCTAACCAGGTGCTCAGCTGCCATTTATCAGTGAAATGAGGGTGCCGTCCCTCCACCTCCCCTCAAAACTGAAAGAGATCACATGCGAACGCGTTTTGCAAATCTAACAGTGTTGTTCGTAGCAATAGAAGAAGTGTTCTGCTGCTGATAACTGGTATCCGTACCAGAAACTGTAGAAGCTGCAAACAAACAAAACATGTCTCTGGTTCCCAAATTTTGCTGCAGATTAAAAT